GCCCCATACCAACAAACTGTGAAGCACTGTGTGTTCTGAAATCTTTCTATCAGAACCAGCATTAACTTTTTCATAATTTGAGCTACAGTAGCTCGTCTGCTGGGCGACCACTAACTGGTGAAGTGAATAACACTGGATTTATACTGGTTATCATGGCTCCTGTCAGTAGGTGGGATATATTAGGCAGCAAGTGAACAAGCTGATGTGTGAGAAGCAGAAAAATGGTCAGCGTGAGGATTTGAGCGACTTTGACAACGGCCACATTGTGATGGCTAGACGACTGGGTCAGAGCATCTCCAAAACTGCAGCTCTTGTTGGGTGCTTCCGGTCTGCAGTGGTCAGTACCTATCAAAAGTGCTCCAAGAAAGGAAAAGAGGTGAACCGGAGACAGGGTCTCCAAGTCTCATTGATGCAAGTGGGGATAAAAGGCTGGCCCGTGTAGGCCGATCCAACAGACGAGCTACTGTAGCTCAAACTGCTGAAACAGTTAATGCTGGTTCTGATAACAGTGCATGCAGGTTGTCTGTGTAGCCCTGCTTAGCTGCAGACCAGTCAGGGTGACCATGTGCCTTCCACTGTTGAGTGGACAGCAATGGAGAAGGTGCCTGCATGTTTTCTTTTACATCTTGTGGGTGGCCGCGTGCATGTATGTTGCTTACCTGGGGAACACATGGCATCTTTCATCTTTCATCTTTTATGGATACAGTATTTCCAGATTGCAGTGGCCTCTCTCAGCAAGATAATGCACTGTGCCACAAAGCAGAAAAGGTCAGGGCTGTTTTGGCAGCAAAATGGGGACCAATATTAGGGAAGTGGTCATAATGTTATGGCTGATCAGTGTATTATTGGTTTCAGGATTTATTTAATTTCATTTTATTAATATGTTTCATACTAACATTGCATAAAATTATTGAAAGTTTTTTGTTGATAGGGACCAAAAACAAAACCTTGTTTAGATTGTCTGCTTATCGCAACAAAACCAGAATTTACCAGAGCTAAAATCCTATGAATGTTGGACATATGGCTAAATGCTGGTCTGTCTTTGGTCCTAAGAAAGTGAGTTGATTGAGTCCTCATTCATGTTCCAGTTTCCTGAACTTGATCTCATGTTCGAGACAAGGCTGGATCATTTTAAGTAATATTTTCATGCTTACATTATACAATACATTATGTATTTTCTTAAATAGACATTAATACATAATCACAAATTATCAGGAGTCAGTGAGTTGCTAGGAATGTCATTGTCATTTTTGTTTTTGGCCAAAAAAGCATGCAAGTATTTACTTACAGACCATAACAACTGTTGAGGGAATGTGATTTGAGCTTTGTCTAAAAAATGAAAGCAGAAATTTCATGAAATGACATGTTTGTTGCAAATCTGGCCTTTATTACATCAGCCATATCATTTTAGAAAAAAATAAACTAATACTGATAAAAGCTTCATAAACAATCCTATAGGTGCAGTGATCACATAGAATATCAGCTGTAATTGTACAACTATCTTAGTATATATAACACCATTATTCCTGATTACAATAATTAATTGACAATGTACAGAGGTTTTATCACAATTGTTAAAAACCTGAACATCTTTATTTATGTGAAATACATTGTGATGTTGAACATTGTGATGATGTAGTGAGTCATTGTGAAAAAAGTAGAAAAATCAAAGTCCATTCAAAATTCAATATTCCCCATTATATTGAGTCAACTGACTTATGAGTATAATTAATGCAAGTAGGACAAATTGTATTCACCTTTAAATCTGTGTTACTCATGAAACAGGAACGTATTTGTTAATAGTTTGTCTTGAAAATAATCAATTCTGTGGTGTCAGA